CTGTTGAGACAAAGAGAAAAAGGACATTTTTAGAGGTGAACAGTCAAGTAAACATCTGAAATAAGACCGTGTCCACCAAATACTCAAGCTGGATTTGCACATTTGCATGCAGGCAGATCCCAAAGCACAGCTAGAGAAATTCATATTTAATCACGTCACTGAAAGTCAAACTGAATTTCCACGTGGAATTCACTTGCAGCTAAGAGGAAGAGGTGTTTTTGTTCCTAAATCCACAGCAGCAGCTTTGAAATGTCACATAAAGGTATTGGTTGATCGCTTTAAAGAACAAGGGATAGATTAAACATATTTTTTAAAAATAGCCGAAATACGTGACGATGGGAAAGTTAAAGTTGGAGAAATTTGATTTTATACTCATCCTTAGTCAAATACACCCCAACCTTAACCCAAACCAAATATCAAAAACTACTTAAAAACATTTGCAAATGAAGTTTTTGGTTAGTTTCATTGTAAAGTCTGCTTTGATCCTAAAAGAATGAATTGTTTCCAACTTGGACAAAACTGTCTTGACACATTTGTAACCTGCTGTGAAATCTCATAAATAAAGAGGAAACTGTTGACTTTGAACAGTAAAACAGAACCATATGCCATGAATCTATTTTACACGATAAATCACCCTTACAGATGGTCGTCAAACCAACACATCCAGGTTGTGCGAGAGCCAGCTGGCCCAGCTGGCAGAAGCAACAGGGGAAAACTAACAGCAAAACACTATAAACACTAGAAGTGTTAAAGCTCAGAAATAACTTTCAGGACAAGAAATAACACATTCTGTTCAAATCTTCTACATTTTTTTCCCCTTTCATTCATTTAGAGCTGAACCACCTTGTTTTATTTTTTGGGATATCTTCTACACAGAGATGAGGGACATGAGGAAGCTGATTCCATCTGTGTGCAGCATAGTAGCTATAAAAGCAGCTTCACCCTGTTTGGTTCTGACCCGAGTTCTACCAGCTGACTGTTTCCTAAGGACCTCAGAGCCCTGCTGGGCTCATATACAGGAAGGAGATTCGACATGCATTTTGGCCCCATGCCATTGAGTGATTTATAAACAACACATTCTCACTTCTGAAGCGTCGAAAATTGACGATGGGTGACCGACGGATTTGTTTCCGACGCGTTGGGAAGCCCAGTGCGTCGGGAGGCGACGCGCTGTGCCAGGGCGTCGTTTTCCGACTGCCGCGGTAAAATTGAGACTTCACAGAATTTTGACCTTTACCCTCTTGCGCATGCAATACTTTGTATCTAGTTGTAACGTCCCTCCCAAACATGGTGAATGGGAAGTTTAGAATGAGAAACTGGGTTAAGGTTAGGATGTGGGTGAGGGGAAGGTAAAATAGCAAGAAGTTAGAGCTTAAATGTCCGTTAAATGTGCGTTTTACCACGGGCGTCGAAAACAAATGTTCTGGCACAACGCATCAAAAACTAACACTTGGTCACCCATCGCCAGTTTTCAACATTTCGGGTGTGAGAAAGTGTTGTTATAAACTAGTAGAAGCACTTTGAAATGGATTCTGTAGTTTACTGGTAACCAGTGTGGAGAACAGGAGTGATGTGCTCGGTTGTCTTGGTTCTTGTCAAGTCTCTTGCAGCAGCATTCTGAATAAGCTGCAGTTGCTTCACAGCTGTTTTGGGAAAACCAGACCAAAAAAACAAAACATTGAAATAGTCCAGCCTGCTGGAGATGAACACATGAATAAGTTTCTCTGGATCTTATCAGGACATGAGACCTCTGAGTCGTGCTGTTTGATGAAGAGGAGCCTTAATGTGACCAGTGAAGCTCAGGTCTGAATCAATTATGACACCAAGTTTCTAACCTGGACCTTTGTCTTTATTCCTCTGGAGCCAAGATGAGCAATAACCTCTTTCCTGTCCTTCTTGTTTCCAAAGACAATAACTTCAGTCTTGTTTTTGTTTAACTGGAGGAAGTTTGACTGCATCCAGTCATTGTATCATACTGCATTGTATTGTTATTTTATTTCAAACATGCAGCACCATACAAAGTGAATGAAAAAAAAGGACGACACCACAACAAACAGGACAATAATAAAACACTAAATAAAGCTAATTTTACTTGTCTAAATATCTGTTTTTACCACCTATTTGAGCCACATACTCGAAATGGAGTGGGAAGAAGTACACACTTATAAACTCCACCTCTTTTCCACAGATCAAAACTAATCAATACAGTTAGCTCTTACTCCAAACACATTCTCATTATTGTCTTTATCTCATGGTCAAAACACCTAACAACGAAACGTAATGCTGAAATCCATAAATCCAAATCTAACACAGATCAAATAAAACTATCTCTTCCTCTTTATACCTCCTTAATCATTCTTTTATATTCCCTTTTGAACAGCTTAATGTCTGGACATTGCTTTAATTTTACATTCAAACTGTTCCGTAGCTTCACCCCACACACAGAAACACAAAATCGCTTCCTATTGGTATGCACCTTCATGATGTTAAATAGACTAAAACCTCGTAAATCATATCCTCTGACAGTAAACAAATAAATCCTGGTAGTTGATTATTTTTAGCTTCATACAAAATATGTGCTGTTTGATATTCCACAAGATCTAAAAACTTTAATATTTCATGTTGTAAAAATAATGAATGAGTATGATTCCTATAACCTACTTTATGAAGTAACTTGCTCCAAACACTGACGGAGTGAGTCTGGTGGACCACAGTCACTAGGTGATAGAGCTAGGTAGATCTGGGTGTCATCTGCGTAACTATGATAGCCAATGTTGTTATAGTGTTTGATCTGACCCAGTGGGAGCATGTAGTCCTTAAATAACATAAACTTTCACATTTCCTGACAACCAATTCCCCAAACTTCTCATCACATAAGTTAGACATTTTACAGAAACAAAGTCAAATAATAAAATTTATCAGGTTTTTGAACAAATACTTTCTAAAACAACCAAACACGTTTTCTAGTGATGAAATCACCTCAGTTCCTTCCTTAAAGTGATGAAATTAAAACAATAAAAGCGTGTGTGTCTCTGTGTCTTCATTGAACATTAACTCAATACTTTACTCTTGACTATAATTATAATAGCACAGTAACTGTATCATTTGGAAGCTTCTTTTTTCCATGATTCTGTAACAACTTCATTCCCCTGTGACCGAGCTTATTGCTCCGCTGTTCCATAAATGACAGTCTTTGTGTTGAACCAGCAGAATAAAGCCAACCTGTGTGTGTGTGTGTGTGTGTGTGTGTGTGTGTGTGTGTGTGTGTGTGTGTGTGTGTGTGTGTGTGTGCAAACATACGTTGTGCATGTGAGTGTGTGATGGTGCAGCGAAGCTCACTGGCAGGTCTGAGTGTAAAACTCTGCATTAACGAGCTCAGACTTCGTTAGAACAGCGGCGCTGGGATCCTGCATGCCTAATTATCCCGACCCCTCACCCTCAGGTGACAGCCTATCACAGCGGAGGACAGCCACGGTGACCTCTGCTGACCTCTCACTGTCTAGTCCTCCTCACAACACTAGCATAGTGTTAACACCAGCATCTTAGCTGACCCTCCCTCAGCAGATCTGTGTGTAAAAGGAGGTGACTGGGAGGCACACGCTCACCAATTTCTTAGCCTAATCTATTGCAGGACTGCCCGATTGAAATAGTTACGGCAAAAACGGATTCAAAGGGGAAGATGTGGAAAGGTGCGGAAATAAAAAGTATTTTTTTAATCTTTAATTATTTTGGGTTTGGGTATTTTGGGTTGAGTATATATGTCGATAGTTTGAGCGCATTAACACAGAGAGAACTGAGTCCTGAGTTCATCTATGTCCCATCCTTAGAGGAACATCTGTATAAGCTGGGGTTGGGTGGGGTGGATGCTCTATGAGGAGCTGCTACTCTTCTTCAACAAAAGGATTAAGTTGAAATGTTCATCTGATGGCTTCTGGAGGTTTGTCATGCACTGGCTGGAGACCTCAGAGAAGGCCCAGAAGTCACTGGAGGAGTTATGTATGCTCTCTGGTCTGGGTATGCCGTTGGATCCCCCAGGAGGAGCTGGAGAAAGGAATGTCTGGGTTTCTGTCCTGGATCTGTTACTATGAGGCTGGTTCAGCTGATGCGAGGGTTTCTGCTAAATGTAGACGTCTGAATCGGATTTTAGGCTACCTCTAAATAATTACTTTCAACATAATATCATCTGATTATAGCAATGTATAAACACTTTACTGAGTCTTTTAATGGTCATGGGGTGGCTAGTTTAATTGCATATTTGCATTTCTTTTATTTAAGTCTTGCTTCTCTGACAAGAAAAGAAAATATACTCACGTCCACAACCATATAAATCCATGTGTTAAATATCACCAGTGTATCGCTGACTTTATCGTTATATGCTCTATTGCCCTCTAACACTTGACTTCGCTTGTCTTCTCCCTGTGAATACTTTCTCTCATTGATGTTGAAGAACGTCTTCTACATTTTAATGCAGCTTAAGAGCATCCCTTTTCCCCATTCAATTGACCCCATATGGCCTAATCAACTGTGATACAAAAAGGCCCTGCAGCCACACACACACACACACACACACACACACACACACACACACACACACACAGAGAGAGAGAGAGAGAGAGAGAGAGAGAGAGAGAGAGAGAGAGAGAGAGAGAGAGAGAGAGAGAGAGAGAGAGAGAGAGACGCCTTGCGTAAATTGGTTAGCTGGTCCAGCCACTGGTCGTTAAGAGGCTTCCAATTAAAAGAGACAATTACAGGAGTCTGAATGATAGCAGGTGGAGGGTGTAGGGGAGGGGGGGGAGGGGGGGGGGGGGGCTACAGCCCAGTTTATATTCTGTCTCACTCCTCCACCTCGATACCCGATCATGTTCAAGTGATAACAGCACTGTTGACCTTTGCTACAAGGAGGACAGCACATTCGGGGAGCTGACCCAAGTTTGACTGCACACACACACACACACACACACACACACACACACACACACACACACACACACACACACACA